ACAGTGCGGCACTCCCTCAGTACTGAGGGAGTGCCGCACTGTCGGAGGGTCAGTGCTGAGGGAGCGCCGCACTGTCGGAGGGTCAGTGCTGAGGGAGTGCCGCACTGTCGGAAGGTCAGTGCTGAGGGAGTGCCGCACTGTCGAAGGGTCAGTGCTGAGGGAGTGGGCACTGTTGGAGGGTCAGTACTGAGGGAGTGCTGCACTGTTGGAGGGGTGATGTTAAAAGTGCTGTATTGCTAAAAGTGCTTTTTTTTCTGGATGTTAAACTGAGGTGCCACCTTCCCTTCTGGTTTGACTTAAAAGATCTTGAGAAAGTTAATTGACGAGGTGTGGAGTTGCTGTGCAGAAAGTGAAATTGCACTTCCTACACTGCAACAGGACACACCTCAAAAGGACTTCATTGGCTATACAGCAATTTGAGCTGCCCTGACATAGTCGAAGACTTTATCTGAGCACAAACCCTTCTTTTCTCAGATTGTTCGTCCTCCATGTTACATCCACTGTTCATCAAAATGGCAGGTGATCTCTCTGAAAGGACGACTTGCCTATTGCAAAGTTTGTAAAGCTGGCATCGTCATTTACCCCCTCTTCCCTCTGTGGTCTCTGCTTTCTTCATCCTGTTGCCTTTCCCAGTCCACCAGGGCTTCATCAAGAAAGGCCATGTGTATCACCTCGACTGCGTCTGACCTTGACCTTGGCTTTCATCACTGATTTGCAACAGGACTCTGGGCAACCATTAGGTTTGAGTAGACAGCAAAGTTCTGCAAATCTAAAGCACATGGAGATACTAAATCAAAGGCATTCTGTTCATGTCCTGATGAATTAACTCGCCAATGGGCAACTTAAGTGGCTAATAGAGATCGGAAAGAGCCTTGTCTAATCTTTGAGAGGTAGCTGGCTTCACCAAGAGGACAGTAGGGTTTGCTAAACACGCCTCACACTATTTGGACAGTAGGGAATGACATTCCTTCCCATGATCAATATTTAATAACTCACTACTCTAATATGGAACGACAGGACACACCTACATGTGAGCACATACAATAGGAGCAGGAGTCATACCAGGTTCAAAATGTTAACTCTGTTTCTCTCTTCACAGATGCTGCTGAGTTTCTCCAGCACTTTCTGTTTTTATCTCAGATCTCCAGCTCATGCTTTACTTTGCTTTTATTGAGCAGAAGTAGCCCATCGGCCCTTCAAGCCTGCCCCATTATTTCATTGAATGACTTGAGTCTTCCCTGAACTTCCAGTTTCCTCCCTAGCCTGAACACCTCACCTTTCTCTGTCCACCTTATAAAGCCTGAGCAGACTTTATAATGGCAGCAAGCTCGGGCTCGACAGGAATGCACCACATGATGGATTGGGCAGGTCGAGCTGTTCATAAAATTTCACACAAGAGACTGGAATCTTACGTGAGAGGCCTGATGGTTACCTATGGAAGCAGCCTGAGTCCGGACAGCAGTTGAGAATTATTTTCTGGTTAAAACACAAAAGCTTGAACTAGGAAAGAGTTAAAGGGAGAAATAGCGTCTACGGAATACTGAACCAAAGGCAATCGAGTGATATTAATGAGCACTGGCCTTTTATTCCAAGGTCCAGGTTTAGCACAAGGCTTAACCACTCAGACAGAGGGGAGACCAGGCTATTGAGCCAGTTGTTGCATTTTTAATATTTTAATCCCTTCCCAGCATCACTGTCATTGCACAATGTTAACCCTTTGAATGCCAGATATATTTCGTCCATTTAGAAATGTGTCTCGTACAATGACGCTAACTTAAAGATAGCATCTTGCCATCAATCATCTTAAACCCCTCCGATACCCCACCCACATCAATAACTCATGTTTAAATAGGATATTTCACACTGTAAAACATCCCAGGTTAAATCACAAATAAACTTAATCTTTCTTTGTCAACATACAATATAATGATGCAAATTGTGAAGGAGATGATATCATGGAAATTACATCAGGACTCTAGGCTATATCCTGTGTTGTTGTTGAGTTTAATTTTTTATTAGAAGATACCAATTCTATTGTTAATCAAGAAATGAATAATCAATTTGTTAGAGTAGAGATAGCTTTATATTTGTCAGCTCACTGTTTCCAACTTGCATATTCCATCCACATCTAACCAGTTGGTTGATTGTAGGATTGACTTCTGCTGGTATTAAGTCAATGATTCCAAATTCATGTGGTCAAAGGCAGCATCAATGTGGGAAATGCCAGATGGGATAAGCTGGACAAGAAGCACCTTGCACAAAAACCACAGTGAATCAGACAGCACCAAAGGTGGCCATTTGGCCCATCATATCCATGCCAGGTTTCTGAAAGAGATGTCCTATTAACCAATTTCTCCTATAATATTGTATTTTTTTTTCCCCTCAGTTGTGTAATGAGCCAATTCCCCTTAGAAAAATTCTGATTGTATTTGCTTCCATCACCCTGTCAGGCAGCAGTTACAGATGGCGGCATCTCGCTACATTAAAACATTATTTTTTTGGTGATCTGGGGAAGGGTCAATGGATCCGAAATGTTAACTCTGATTTCTCTCCACAGATGCTGCCAGACCTGCTAAGCTTTTCCAGCAATTTCAGTTTTTGTTTTTGATTTCCAGCATTCCCAGTTCTTATTTGCCTCCTAACTCTGGTTCTTTTGGCAAATCTGTGTCCCACCTGTGATGCTTGCAGAAATAGCTTCTCCTCATTCCCTCTACCAATACCCTGCAACATCAGAATCCAGTTTGCTCATAGGAATTAGGTGGAAAGCTTGCCATGTGGGTACAGTCATCATAGTCTTACCAGATCATAGGGCTGCCCTCCTGTTAGAGAGCAATAACTGATGGTTAACCTAAGGGTCATCACACCAAAGGCGAAGCCTCTGAGTTAACCCTTTCACCATCAAATATCAAATAGTATAGGGGAAGCTAGACAAACAGGTGATGGAAGGAAGATTGAAGACAGATATGGCGATGGTATCAGTTGAAGTTGAGGAAGCTCATGTAGAGCTGAAACACTGTGACAGATCAATTGGACTGAATGGTCTGTTTCTCTGCTGTACATCTATCAACTGAAGTCAGCAGCTCATCTCAGAGAGGTTATAACAATGCTCAGAATGAAAATTCACAATTGCCATATTTAAATAAATTGCGTTGCACACCGAGTGTGCTTCACCTACTTTCTGATAACCTTGATAGAATTCAAAAACAAATACAACCATTTCTCCCCATCCCTCTCCCACCGTTTCTACAACATCAATGTAATTTAACAGCTATTTAGTGCAAGTGTTTGCTGTGCAAACTCTTACCAGTGCTCTGTTCTTCAGCTCCCCTCCGAGGCCCCAATAAACCACATGGAACGCGCTGATTTGTAATCTCATCTGTGAACATGATTAAGTGAAATATCTTGGCAATAGCTAATGGGCTTAAAAGGAATGAGTGCACCAGGTAGTGTAAATAAACAAAACTGAATTCATTGTTTGTAGAACAGGACTGATTTCCATCAACTTTTTTGTAAGTCCAATTTCCTAAGCGATATGGAAATTAAATTGAAATCAAGCAACAAATTTTTTGTCATAGAAAAGAGAAACAAGCTTCTACTCAAGATAAAGTCACAGAAATGTCAATTACTATATAGAAAATTCTATTTCCAGCCCCAGTACTCCTCCCTCTTCCCAACACTTATCATCCAGAATATGACCTTGCTGGTATATGTTCCCCTGGTTTTCCTGTACTCACAGTTCCTCATTATGACCATCAGTCTTAACATGAGATTGTGGGAGTACCAGGAGCTGGCTCACAGCTGTACCATGGTTCTAGGCAATCTTTCTGTTGGGATCTATCATACAATGGATTTCTTGAGGTTCGTAAACCATTTGGTGATGGATGATAGTGGAGCCAATCTGTACACAATTTTTACATTTATTTACAGAGCGAATCATTACAAATGCACACCTCCTAAATCAAAAACACCCAGTTTCATTAAGTGCTTTTTATATATGGTCAAGTAAAACATCAGCTTATGTCCTCCACCTGCACATAAGTAAATGTGATTGAGATACAAGGAACATAACCCTGCTTGACTTTTCAAAAAGGACATCACCCATGAAGCAATTGGTGAACTGGAAATGTTTCTAAAATGTGAAGCATGTGGCTTGATCACCAAGTTTTAAAAACTTGCATCTATGATTAACTTAGCAAAATACCCCTAAAATACTTCAGAGGAACAATTAAAATTTGACAATGATTTACAGAAGAAAATATTGGGACATATGGACGGTGAAAATCAGACAGACTTTAAGAAGCAGGTAGACATTAAGAAGCATTTTCAATGTGGGGTGGGGTGAGGTCAGGTAATGAGGTTTTGGGAGGAAATTCTGGAACTTTATGTCTCAGTAGCTGAAGACATGGTAGTCAATAGTGGAGCAATTAATATTGAGAATGCACAGGAAGCAAGAATGGAAGGAACGCAGAAATCCTGGAGAGTGGTAACTTTAGAGGAAGTGCCAGATATATGGAGGGGGTGATAACTACCTTCACAGGTAATATGGGTGCCACCAATGAGCATGCATGCTGCATCACTGAGCTGAAAGCTGCTGTCACACCCAAGAAGGAAGAAAGTAAAGAGAAAAGTCATCTTCTATACATCCAATCCTGCTGCTTTACACTTGTTGCTCATTGAAGAAACGTCTCAACTTTCCATCTTCTCCTTGTAATTGTCAAGACTTCTGCTTGTGGCAGTCTCAGGAATCTCAGACTTGTACGAATAGATGGCATAGAAAAAAGTGCAGGAATGCAGAGATTTGGAAGCTACCTTCTCCTCACACCCCCATCACTTTTGTTTCTTTCAGAAAAGTATTGCATTGTCTTGTATACATACCTGCACACTCCTGAAAATACAGAGAGGGGAAGCAATTCAAGGCACTACCTTTGACTGCAAGGCCAACTTGTCTTCTGAGGTTAAATAAATGGATGTGGTAGCATAATAGTCCTTTACTTGATTGATCTGAATGAGCTGGAGAAATGGGAACTCTGGCAGCTGGGGAATATAAATTCACTTAATTGAATAAATCTGGAATAAAAAGAAACAAGCTTCAGAAATGGTGGCCATGATACATTCAGGTTGTCTTAAAAACCCATCTAGTTCACTCGTAACCTATTGGAATCAAGAAATCTGGTGGCCTTACTCAGATTCAAGAAGGTCACTCGGTAGCAACTTCTCAAGGGCTGTTTAATGGACAATCAATGCTGGCTATCCAGCAGCACTTCTGCTGTGATTGTATTAGAACTATATAAGCAAAGAGCAAGCCAGAGACAGACCTATGGATTTATTGCAGCCAACTCTGCAGCATGGTGATTTATTCAGTTGCTTGGGGATTATTAGTGCTAAAATATTACTTTTCAAACACTGATTACAGGGTTCTTAACGCATCAAAGAAAGCAACATTTTAGGACAATTTGAAGCACATCAAATAAAAAACATCGTTTAGCAGCTTCCCCAAGTGACCCAATAGTTAAAGGTGTAGGCTTGAGAGGGAGGGATTACTTCACGGTGAGCATTTTATTGATTGCAGGCGTGGGGATAGTTGCTAATGCATTGATTTCCTTCAAGTGTTCTCAGGGGAAGGAAACAGATACCAAGAGGTTTGAGTCCTGCCCACTATCCAGTGAAACCTGCCAGAAATGCTATGTGTTAATATTCGATAAAACTCAGGTAACAATCTGTTTTTTCACATACATGGTGAACGTTTCTACCTTGGACACGATCAGTAATCGGGGCACAAACTTCGCCCAAAACTCCACCTGTTTGAGGTGAGCTTTTCCCCTTGAGATTTGGTTCAAACTGATCAATTTAACACCTATCCCGAAATCTTCCAAATGCCAGTGTAACCAAGTAGCAATTTAAATTGTAGCTTTAAGTTTTAAAACATGCTTTAATAAAAACCTCCTGTGATTTTAAGAATGGCAATTCAATACAGTTTGCTTCATACAAATAAAATGAGTTTAGCAATGGGAGCTGGGGTTAATGGTTGTACAATGGTAACATCACTCAAGTAGTGATCCACACAACTCCAGGCTAATGTTGTGAGGATGTTCATTCAAATCCCTCCCTGTAAGAGGGAGAAATTTGAATTCAATGAAAATCCTATATTAAGTAACCCTATGGTGATCATGTGACCCGAGCCGGTTGTTATAAAAACCCATCTGATTCACTAATGTTCTTTGGGGAAGGGAGTCTGCTATCCTTACCTGGTCTGATCTACATGTGACTCCAGACCCAGCTCAGTGATTCTTAATCATGCCATGGGCAATGAATGCTGACTTCTTAGCAATGAGGATGTTCCCATGAATAAATTATGAGAAATGTGTGTTGGATCACTCAATGAGTAATTTAAAATACCAAAGCAAAACACTTCTGCAGAACCATTTGCCAGTTATAAATGGGGGACAGTAGTCAATTTCTTAGTAAATTTGATAAAGAAAATTACGTTTTAAATATTCTTGTTAGTGTCTTTGCATCTGGAAGAACCAGCTATTTTTTTTTCTTACGTTTCTTGGAAGGCTCATGAGTAGCTATAATGAGCAGAATCTCGCTATTGTGAATAATTCAGTCTGGGGGTGCTGCCAATTTTCTGGGTGGGGGGCAGCTTCCAGTGATACTGGAAAAATAAAGGCAGAAACCTGATCTGTACTGAATATAATTTGCCTTTAATATTACATGTGACTTCATGCAGCTTGTGCCAATTTTGGGCAAATAATGCAGAAACAATTATGTCGCTGAGTGGATGTCCTACCCCATGGTATTAAAACCATTCCCCTTTAAAGTGACACTCAAAAACCATCCATAAAGCTCAGTGATAATTGGACATAGACTTAACAGTTTCCTTCTAAATAAATTCATTCTATCCTTATGATGTTGTGATGATATGATCTCATATACATTTAAACAGCAAATCTTACAGCATTTTAAGAAGCATCTGGGAGATCCCACAATGAGTAGTTGCAGTGCCACCACTGACAGAAAGGTACAACTACTACGTGACACGTTTACATCGGCACTGACTAAAGTAGCTACAGATAGAAGAATTTAAAGAATGTTGATATAAAAGAGGAAGATACAACAGCAGCAAAAAGAGTAAGACAGAATGTCCATTCTGGTGTAACATTTTTAAACAGATCATTTTGCATATCACTAAAGGAGCAATGCAATCATTTGCTGAGTGCCTCAGATTGGGTCTTGTTTCAGTCTGGGATGGAGAACATTCAACAAGAGGGAGACACCTGGTCATGCAACCCTGGGCAGAAGGATCTCTCCTGGGGTGCTATTTGTGGGTCAGGGTGAGGAGTTGGTATATAATGATTCATGAGGCATAGAGATTTCTGTGGAACAGGCTGAAGTGAGCAGAAAATGCTTTCCTGTTTGACATTGTTTGTATCTAACTCACCCATGTAGTCATTTTAGACACATCAGCCTGAGAATTGAAAATAGGAAGAATTGGAATAGAATTGGAATTCCACTTAGCATTAGAATAAAAACAGAAATTGCTGAAGAAACTCAGCAGGTCTGGCAGCACCTATGGAGAGAGAGAAACAGAGTTAAAATTTCAAGTCTAACTTGATTCTTCTCTTGTTAACTCCAATGAAACATTAATTCTGTTTCTCTGTCTAAAGATGCTTTGTTTCTAATCTCTAGCATCCACAGTACTTCGCTTTTATTTGAGTGAGAATTCTAATTGACTAACCAGAGGTCATTAAATAGAGAGATCTCACTTTCTCAGTAGACTAGAGACCTAATATTTTAAAACTAATCAATTCCTTTACCCATTAAATCAGCAGTAGAGCTTAAGTTCTCTTTCCTAAAAAGAAAGGAAATTTGCAAGAACTGGGATCAACTTTTAAGGTCTTCATCCTCTTTGCCATTTTTGTTTGAAGACATGGCGAGTGCTGGAGAAATCACTCAGCCACCATGTCTCGGTGACAAAGCTGTACCAACCACACAAGTAATTACTGTTGAAGAGTTAAGAACAGCAAATGAATTTTGTTTGAAGCAGAGTAAAGTTGGGAGTTAAATGAAATCGAGAGAATGCTATCCAGTGGCGTTGAAAAAGAGGTGAGATTGACTGCCCTCCCAAATCTTGTGAGGGCCGGCCTTGCTGTTTTCTGCATTGAATAAAATCAACTTGCTGGAATATTGTCTGTACTTTCAAATAAATTCATTCTGCCCCTTGCTGGCAATAAGAGACCCTGATTATACAGCAGGGTATTCTGTGATTCCAAGCATGGCCTCTGTTGAGCACTGTGTTTTTGAAGTCCTGCACTGAATATGTTTATCTGGAGATACAATGATTGTCACCCGGTTCCCTGATGTTCCCATGCCTAA